TGAATAATTTAATTAGTATTGCTGCAGATCTTCTTTAAATGTCTTGAAAAATCCTACTGTAGGCCTGAGCTTTATTTAATTGGGAGGTTTTCTATTACTCTTTCGACTTCTTTGTATATTATGGGTCTGTATAAACTGTTCTCTTCTTGATTTAACTTCAGTGGTTCTCATGATTTTTATATATCCACCCTTTTTTTTTTAGGTTTTCAAATTTAATAGGGTATAGGTTTTTTAAATATTCCCTTATTAGATAGGCCCTAGAGATCCCCAAAATAATAAAGGCCATTGACAATAATGTTGGTTGTACACCAGAAGTAGACAATAAAACCCTATTGCTGAAGACACCACATGATGTGAGCGTGGGAGAGAGAGAAATCAAGCTTGGACTAAGTTGGAAGCTCTGTGCCACTGGATAGGTGGCTTTCATAGTGCCAGAAGGCGATATGCATATGGCTGGGGGACAAGTGTCCCCTATAATTCTGTTCAACAACAGAGCCCTCGTGCTGTACTATAAACATGCCAAACAAGATGTTCCAGCTGGTACATTAGTGGTGCATCTAGTGTATGTACAACCAGCAAATTTTCAATTGGATATAATGCCCACTCCTAGAGGTGGAATACACATCTGGTACTGTAGACCAGGCCAACCCCTGTGGCAGGGAGGATACAGGTCACAGTGTGGAAGCCACTGCAATTGTTTTGCTGGATGGAAGTAATGGATCTGCTAAACTATTGTCCAAGCATTTATGTTTACTCCCATAAGTTAAGTTATTATAGCAGTTATGGTCTGGATGTTCTTGCTTCTTGCTGTTTGTGTTTCTATAGCTGATGAAATCGCACTGAAATGAGCCAACAGCTCATGGAAAACAGATGATTCAGAGACACAAAAGTTCAGTGCCTTGACACAATGGTAGGAAGATTATCCCACACCAGGACACCTCCAAGGCTCAGAGACTTTTGCCAAAGAGGTTGGCAGAAAGAATGTAAGACCTGGAGGAAGGGGTAGAGTGTTACCTGGAAGTGTCCTCTGGACCACTATGACCACAAGCTATATTCACATCTCCTTTCCATGCTCTTCAAGGAGTGGAGGGGGGAGTCAACCTTAGCTGCATGTAGGGGAGAGGCTAAGGATATATAAGCTAAGAACACCATGATGCACCTCTCTCGCCATTTTATGTGGGTGTTGGTAAGTCACAGGATATATACTTGAGTGTGGAGTTTCCAGTACAACTTTAAATGGGAGAGCACCCACTCTTCTATAAACAGGCCCCCCCCCCCACCCTATGCTTTGTTAGCAAGCTCAATAAACTGGCTAGGATTTTCCAAAATAAAAAAGAACAGAGGAAATGAAAACCTTCATTATGAGCCCATGTTGGCAAATCCTTTGGTCTTTGATTTCTTATTCCTATACCCCCCCATAAACTTCATTGTATATATATTTTGATGCAAACTACTTCAAGTTATTTCTAGGAAATGTGTTAAAAATTGCCTCTCTTTGGAATAATAAAAATATTCTAAAATTTTTTAAAAGTATTCTCTTAAAATGTTCTGGATCTTTTAGGTATCTGTTGTGATTTGGTTGATTTGGATTTGCTCTTTCTTTCTTTTGGTTAACTAGGCTAAGGGTCTGTCTATCTTGTTCAGCTTTTCAAAGAACCAGCTCTTAGATTCATTCATTCTTTGTATTGTTTTCTTTGTTTCTATTTCATTAATTTCTGCCCTGATTTTTGTTATTTCTTCTCATCTGCTGGGTTTGGGTCTTCTTGCCTTTCCAGTGTCTTGAATTGCAATGTAAGTCACTTATTTGTTCTCTTTCTGAATTTTTTAATGTAGGCACTTAGAGCTATAAACTTCTTTCTTAGGACTGATTTTAAAGTGTCCTAGACATTTTGTTGTATTGTATTGTCCTTTTTGTTTAATTCCAGGAATACCTTTGTTTTGTTTGGTTTTTATTATTTATTATTTAATTCCAGGAATACATTTATTTCTTTCTTAATTTCTCCTTTGACCCACTCATCATTCAGGAGTGTGTTGTTTAATCTCCATGAGTCTGTGTAATTATTAAGGCTTCTTCCAGGGTTGATTTCAAACTTTATGGCATTGTGGTCTGACAGAATGCATGGAATTATTTCTTTTCTTTTCTTTTTCTTTTTTTTTTTTTGTTATTTGTTGGTTTGTTTTGTGCCTCAGTATGTGGTCAATTTTTGAGAAAGTTCCATGGAGTGCTGAATGGAAAGTGTATTCTTTGGTGCTTGGGTGGAATATTCAGAAGACATCTGTTAGGTCCATTTGCTATATGGTATCATTTAATTCGGATGTCTCTCTGTTTATTCTCTGTCTGGTTGACCTGTTTAATGGGGACAGTGGGGTACTGACATCCCCTACTATTACTGAATTGGAGTTAACCTGTGTCTTAAAATCCTATAGTGTTGGTTTTATGAATTTGGGTGCACTGGAGTTTGATATGTATATGTTCATGATTGTAAAATCTTCTTGGTTAATTGTTCCTTTGATCAGAATGAAGTGACCCTCTTTATCTCTTCTGATTAGTTTTACTTTGAAGTCTATTTTGTCAGATATTAGAATTGAAACCCCTGCTTGTTTCTTAGTGCCATTTGCTTAAAAGTTTCTTTTCCATCCTTTCACCTTAAGGTAGTGCCTGTCCTTGAAGGTGAGATGGGTTTCTTGCAGACAAAAAAAGATGGATTTTGTTTCTCAATCCATTCAACTAGCCTCTGTCTTTTGACTGGGGAATTCATTCCATTGATATTTAAAGTCATTACTGAAAGGTGTATATTGGTTGCCTTCATTTTGATTGCTGTTTTCATTCTTTGTCTAATTTTGCATTTTCACAATTATACTTTCATTTAGTTTCTTTCTGTTTCCCCTGGGGTATAGTTGTTCCTTTCTCCTCTTTTTGTATTGCTTCAAGTATTCTTTGAAGGGCTGGTCTTGTGGACATGTATTCTTTCAGCCTATTTGTGTTGTGGAAGATTTTTCTTTTCCCTTCAACTCTAATAGACATTTTTTCTGGGTAAAGTATTCTGGGTAGGCATCTGTGGTTCATTTAGAACTGGAAATACCTTGGTCCTGGCTCTTCTGGCTTTCATAGTTTGCAATGACAAGTCAGCTGTCATTCTGATGGGTTTTCCTTTATGTGTGAGTTGTTGCTTTTCTTTTGAAGCTTTCAGTATTCTCTCTGTTCTGTTCATTTAGTGTTTTTACTGTGATATGCTGGTGTGTGGGGGGGGTATGTGAATTCTGTTCTGTTCCTGTCTATTTGGAGATGTTTTCCTTTAATTCTGGGAAATTTTCTTCTACAATCCTGTTTAAGATATGGTCAATACTGTTAACCTAAGATTCTTCTCCTTCCTCTATGCCTATGATACGTAGATTTGGTCTGTTCATGGTGTCCCACATTTCCTGAGTATTCCATTTCTGTGTTTTTTAAAAAAAAATTTATAATCTTTGCTTGAGTGGTCCAGTTCTTCAACTTTATCCTCCAGTGCTGACATTCTTTTTTTCCATTCATTCTATTGGTGAGGTTTCCTCCTGTTGTTTCAAATTAGCTTACTCAGTTTTTCACTTCCTTCTTCATTTCACCCTGAGTTTTCTTCAATGTTTCTATCTCTTGTGAATTCAGTCAGAAGTTTACCCCTATCTTCTTTTAGTTCTTCGTGTGTGTGTGTGTGTGTGTGTGTGTGTGTGTGTGTGTGTGTTTTAATTTGTTGAATTCTTTGATCATGTTTATGACTGTTCTTTTAAATTCTGTGTCCTGGGTTATCTTTAGGGGGTTCTCCTTATAGAACTCTTCTACAGACTGGTGGAGTTTGCTGGTAACATGCTGTTTTGGCTTTCCATATCAGTTTTCCATTGTGATTTTGACATGTGGATTTCTTTTGTTGTTTGTGAATCTGGTATGAAACTCAAGCCTTCTTTTGTTGAGTTGAAGTTTGTTTCTGTTTGTATTATTGGTGTGCCTTGGTTTTTTTCTTATTGGGTATGTAAAGCTGGTTGGTCTAGGTTTCAGGTTCTCTCAGATATTATTTTGGAGGGAACTGATGGTTTTGGATCAGCTACTCAGGAGCTCCCACAGAGGCCCAAGTCAGGCTCCAGTTAGGTACACACTGGCTTCCTTCTAATGTCTGGACCCCTACTAGTGGGTACTACAGCACTATTCTGGAAGTTCCCTAAGGGGAGGTCTGATTTTGGCACTCTCAGGCAGTCTACTGAGTTCTCAGCCTCCACTCTATTGTAGAGCAAAGAGCTCTAACTCTGGTACAAAGTGGGAGGGGCCTCATGCAATCCCAATTAGGAGGTTGAGAGTAGCAGGATTTGGGGGAAGTTTACCACTACTGGGAAGCCAGATGCAGGTGCTCTCTGGGGGTCTGCTAAGGTCACCATATATTCTAACCTTTTAACAGTTTTGATTTTTGGTTTTTTTTTTTGTATTTTTGAGACAGGGTCTCCCTGTAGCCCCAGCTGGCCTAGAACTCACTATGTAGACCAGGTAATCCTGGGATTAAAGGCATAAGCCACCATGCCAGGCCCTTTTAACAGTTCTTATTACAATGTTCTTTACTCCTTTTAGGAATTGACTAGTTTACAGTAATTCAATTTACATACACATTGCAAACATCTTTGCGTTCTTTTGCTGTTACTGAGAAGGATTATTTTCTTGAAAAGATTAACATTCCTTGGGTTTCCTATTATCAAAACTATGAGATAGTTGGTCTGGAGAGCTGGCTCAGCATTTAAGAACACTGGCCTTTCTTGAGGACCCAGATTTGCTTCCTAGCACCAACATAGTGGCTCACAATCATCCAAAACTCCAGTTCCAGGGGATCTGATACCTTTTTCTGGCTTCTGTGGGCATGCAAGCACATGGTACACATACATACATGTAAACAGTCATCCACATAAAATTTTTTAAATTAATTTAAAAAAGTATCAAATATTCATTCTCTCTTGGTATTTTTAACTGCCCTTTTTTAAAAAAACAAAATATGGAACACTTCATGAATTTGCATGTCATTCTTGCACAGGGACCATGCTACTCTTCTCTGTATCATTACAATTTTAGTGTATGCGCTGACAAAGCAAGCACTAACCACCCTTATTATATTTATATGAAGGAACAATTTGGGGCTAGAGAGATGGCTCAACCATTAAGAGCACTGGCTACTGTTGCAGAAGACCTGGGTTCTATTCTCAGAATCCACATGGTGGTTAACAACCATCCACTATTCCAGTTCCAGGGGATCCGACACCCTCTTCTACCCTCAACAGGCATTGCACGACACAGGTGTACCAATCTACATGCAGGTAATACACTCATACACCTAATAAAGTAACAATAATAAAATTTTTTAAAGGAACAATTTATTTATGTAGTTATAGGAGTATTTTCTAAGTGCTTTTCAAGCCCAATGTTTTAGCTATTAATCATGAGCATTCAAAACACCTCTAAACCTTCAATTAAGCTTTTTAAAAATATTTTTATTTATTATTTTTATTTTATGTGTATGCATGTATTGCCTGCATATAGGTAAGTGCACCCGTGCTGTGCAATGCCCATGAAGGACAGAAGAAGATGTTGGATCCCCTGCAACTGGAGTTACAGTCAGTTGTTAGCTGCCATATGGGTGCTGGGATTTGAACCTGGGTCTTCTGCAAGAACAGTCAGTGTTCTTAGCTGCTGAGCCACCTCTCCAGCCCCAACTTAAACTTTTATACATTTACTTCTTATAAAGGTAGGATGGTGAGAAATTCCATACATTTGATTAAAAGAAATATGAAAAGATTATTTTTTCTCCACCCTTCCACATATGCCTCATGACCAACTATCCTCTCCAAAGGTAGTATAATTTGCCTACATTATTCCAATCAGTTCAGCTTGTATTTCCACCATCAAAAAAAGCATTAAACGCATCTGAATTGTTAATGAGACCTTATATAACATGATCATTTCTGTGTGCGCATATGTGCATGTGTGTACATGGGTGAATGCATATGTATTTATGTATATAATGAGTTTTAAAACTTTCAGTCTCACAACTTGTTTTAGGGTTTCTGAATAGGATAACAAGGGACTCATTATGTATATCATTAAACTGTTGGCATGTGTCCTGGCATAAAAATGTAATATATCAGCACACCCATATATTTGCAAGGATGTGTGTTTGTGTATGTGTGTGCATGTGTAATGTGTGCGCATGTGTGCACACACTGGGGAGTCCATACTTTTATGCATTTTTCCAATTTGTCTGGAATTTCATCCACAGCAAATTTTCAGGGCATGTGCCAATATAAGAAGATCAAAATATTTAAAACAAAAAACCATGTCTGGGCTTCAGTTAGAAATCTTCCATCTTCTTCCAGAGATGACCATAAGACACCTTGACTGATGAGGGAAAGCAATACCATACACAACCTTCTAGACTCCTTTACATTGTAGCTGCAAAAGCATTCTTCTGAAAGTGAACAGACAATTGTGCAGGCAGTCCACACTTCCCTACTGCCTGAAGTCTTTGAATAAGTTGGTTCATTCTTTTAACATTAAAGCTTCCTTCCCCCATCATAATGCCCAAACCCCACTTTTCTTACTTGGTCCCATTAAGGCAGAATAGGTGCTGCCAGCTCTTTACCAAAAGAGCTCTCATGGTCACACAAAATAAGTCATCAACATCTGGCAATGTCCTTCAACAAGCAGACCTTAGCCCTATCCCTATATTTCTTCCAGAAAAATGATAACCAATCAAACTTTTAGAAGATTTAAGGAAATATTTCATCAATCTGCTTCCAGAATCATATTAGACAAGATACATAGATTATGTATCCATTTCCATTCCACTTATCCCCAGTTTAAGAGCCAGGTTAGCACTGCTAAACTGGATCATATCTGTTAAGCAAGCAGACCTCATTAATAGTGTAATTGGGGAAGATGGGCACACTTGGGGAGGGGCTTAACAGTAAATAAACAAAGCTCAGATTCCATCTCCCACTAAACCCAGTGGGATACTAATGAGTTTTCAAAGACACCACAAAGCAAACTAATATTCTCAGCTGTCATTTATTTTAAAGTATATAGCTACTTAATTTTGGTACTAAGTAACACAGCACTGTCCCTCTAGCTTTCAATTCTATGTATTTCCTGTGGCACAAAAACCACTCCAGAAATACTCAAAATTTTAATATATGTAGAGAAATTTTAAAACATTAACAAGGATCCTAAGGGTGTCAGAGTTTCTTCTCCTGACCTCTTTGACTTTTTGAGATTTATCTATCACAATGGCCTCATTTATTATTTTTATAGCACTTTTCTCAATTTATAATTATCTTTTGTACATATCTGTTTTCGATCTTTCTTAAAGAAAGCAAGCTCCAAGAAGGAGACGCCTTCATTTGTCTCATTCGCTATTATATACTATAACCTAATTAAATCAATGTGAAGAGAATAGTAAGGCATCCAAGATATACAAGGTTCAACTGCAGGGACAAACACCCCTCAAATCTCAGTGGCTTCATACAACAAAGGCTTATTTCTTATTTATGTTACATGTTCAACAAGGGTGAAGAGTGGAAGCTCTGTTCATTACTGTCGTTTAAGGGCCCAGAATAACAGCGGCTGTATCTGGTCATAAACTCTCACAATACCAAGGTAAGAAAATGGAGCACCAAAGTGTTTCATACTGGGACCTGCCTCTACCCTCAAGTGCTATGTTAGGCATATTCTATAGTTCAGAATAAATCACACAGCCACCCCTAACTTCAAAGGGAAGGTGTGAAGCAGATGTGAATGAGCACTAGAAGCCAGCGGAGACATAACAGAACATCTATTAATAGAATCATACTGTTGAAAGTGTTTCATTTGTCTGAATATGTCTGAATTGCCCAATCAAGGAAAGACATCTGTATTTATCATGACACTTAATTTAGGAACAAAGCAAATGATTAAGGTGTACTCATGTTCCTGCTAACTAAAACCCAGGAAACCAAACAACTCTAGGAAAACGTGCGACAGTGTAGTGCCATGCTTTCAGATACCAACAGGATTCCATTCACTGAGATGCATTTATACAGTTATTTTTCACACAAGCAACACATGTAAACAAAACCAGCAAACTAGTTGCATCATTTTGGCCCACTACAGCATATCCACCCATTATTACCACAGAAGGCTCATAGCACTAACTCACACTTGAATTTTTCTCTACAGCACATCTGTCAGTATTTCCTGCAGATATAGAACAAGTGAGAGTTAATTTTTAGTAGACAAGACTTCATTCTTTTCTTCTCCCCCCCCCCCCCCGGAACCCACCATTTAGTCTCTTACAGTGAGATAACCTCCAGTCACAAACTTTTCTCTCCAATGCTTTTCCAATTGCTATGGTAACCAACACCTTCCTCCAACATTGCCAATATGCTTCCCAACCCTACAGGAGACAGGATCTCCCTGTAGCCCCAGCTGGCCTGAAACTTGCTATGTAGACCACACTGGCCTTGAACTCACAGAGATCTGCCTGCCTCTGCCACCCAAGTGCTGGGATTAAAGGCATGTGCCACCACTCCTGGAATTACAGGCAGCCTTCTTAATGTACTGCCAGAAGTGCCAATCTCCTCCAAGAGAGCACCTGCTCTCTCTCCAAACCTATAAACAAGGCCCTTTAAAAGACTCTACTAATAGATGCAGCTACCTCCTACTAAAAGTCAATGTTATGCCTATTATTTCATTTAATAATTTCAAAAACACTGCATGGTAGATGCCATTTTCTTTATTTTATGGATTAAGAGAACTGGAAGTTAGAGGTGATACAACTTGGCCAAAGAGCAGAAGCAAGATTGAACAAAGAATGAATAGACCACACTATCTCTGAAGCATCTTCTATCAGTACAAGACCTTGCCCAAATTAAAGGTATGGCCTACCTAACTTGTTCAGTCTGTTTCTTTTTTATTTTTATTTTATGTTTATGAGTGTATTGCCTGCATGTGTGTTAAGTGCACCTGTGCCATGCAGTGCCCTCAGAGGTCAGAAGAAGGCGTCAGATTCCCTGGAACTGGAGCTACAGATGGTTCTTAACCACCATGTGGGTGCTGGGAATCAAACCCAGGTCCTCTTCAAGAGCAGTCAGAGCTCTTAACCACTGAGCCATCTCTCCAGCCCTGTGTTTCTTTCTCAAAAGGGCTTTCTAAGCATCAGGATGCTAGTTTGCTTTAATATTAACACACTATTGTTAATCCAATGGCAATTTGAGACATGTTATTAATGAAGACAGTAGTCCAAACACTAGACAAAGAAAAGCTTTGTTCTCCTGTTCATCTCCAAGGACTTCCATGACAAAAACCAAGATAATGGGTGCTAAGTACTCCGTACAAAAAAATCAAAGTACAAGATCAATACCTCACAGGTATCCATAGTGCTGAGGCATCCACTATGTGACCGGAGCCAAGAAAGGTCCATGAGAATGGGACTGAGTTTGCTTTCTTGGACCCTTTCAAAGCCTGCCCCCAACCCTATCATATGACCCTCACTATTCTCCCCCAAACACAAATCCAGGAACACACAAAGTAGGGTATTTACTTCTTCACTAAGTCACCTATCCCCTACTCTCAATTCAAGAATACTTTATATTACCTTGTAAATATGAGCGAAATACTTACCATTCCACAGCTATTTTCCTAATCTGCCTTTTTCAATCATTTTCAGGGCATAAATTGTTATCCCCCGGCCAGAAGTTGTTTGTAAAACTTGTGTACATCCCTCTTTTCACACCAAAGACTACTCATTCTGTAGTAGAAAGGGGAGTATTCTAAAGAAAGCAATTAGCAAGTCATTTAGCATTGCCGCCCACTCCACAGAGGCACACAAATAAGAGAATTAGTTCAATTTGTTACCTATAATAAACAGGACACTTTACCATCAGAGCCCTTGAGTTGGTGGCACGGGGTGACTAATTCCAAGTAGGAATGACTACAGTGACCCCATCCTCTATTTTATAAGTATGTGCTGAGATTCAAAGGCATGCTTCCCCACTGCCTCTTCCCTTGTACACAGCTTCACATCAATCCATTAGGAATCTGGTGTCCTATTTTATGATTATCCTGCA